TCAGAAATAAACCTAGGCTTATATGGTCATTTAATCTATGACAAAGGAGACAAGAATATACAATGGGGTAGAGACAGTTTATGCAATAAATGTTGTTGGGAAAACTGGACAGATACATGCAAAAAAAATGAAACCAGACCACCTTCTTACAGCATATACAATAATAAACTCAAAATGGATTAAAGACTTAAATGTAAAACTCAAAACCATAAAAGTCTTAGAAGAAAACATAGGCAGTAAACTCTCTGACATTGTTCTTAGTAATATTTTTTAGATATGTAGCCTTAGGCAAGGGATACAAAAGAAAACAAAGTAATAGACTAAAAAAGTTTTGCGCAGTAAAAGAAACTATCAACAAAACAGAAAGATAACTCACTCAATGGGAGAAGATATTGCCAATGATACATGTGGTAAGCGGTTAATATCCAAAATTTATAAAGAACTCATGCAACTTAACACTAAAAAGCCTAATGATCTAATTAAAACATAGGCAGAGAACCTGAATAGACATTACTCCAAAGAGGACATACAAATGGCCAATAGACATAAGTAAAGATGCTCGACATCACTAATCATCAGAGAAATGCAAATTAAAAAACACAAGGGGATATCACCTCATATCTGTCAGAACGGCTATCATCAATAAATCAATAAACAGCATGTGTTGGTAAGGATGTGGAGAAAAGGGAACCCTTGTGCACTGTTTATGGGGTTGCAAACTGGTATAGCCACTATGGAACACAGTATGGAGGTTGCTCAAAACATTAAAAATAGAAATACTATATGGCTCAGCAATTTCATTTCTGGGTATTAATTTGAAGAAATCCAAAACACTAATTCACAAAGATATATGCAACTTTATGTTCATTGAAGCATTATTTATAATAGCCAAGATATGGAAGCAACCTAAGTGCCTATCAATAGATGATTAGATAAAGAAGAAGTGGTATATATATACAATGAAATACTACTTGGCCATAAAAAAGAATGAAATCTTACCTTTTGCAACAAGATGAATGGACCTGGAAGGTATTATGTTAAGTGAAATAAGTTAAATAGAGAAAGACAAATACCATATGATCTCACTTATATGTAGATTCTAAAGAACAAAATAAACAAACAAAACAAAAACAGACTCACAGATGTAGGGAACAAGCTGATGATTGCCAGATGGGAGAGGGCGGGTTTGGGGGACAGGGTGAAAAAGGTGAAGGGATTAAGAAGTACAAATTGGTAATTGCAAAATTTACCAATTTAGTCAGGGGGATATAAAGTAAAGCATAGGAAATATAGTCAATAATACGGTAATAACTATAATGGTGCCGGGTGGGTATTAGACTAGTAAGGGGATCACTTTGTAAATTATATAAATGACTAACCACTATGCTGTATACCTGAAACTAATGTAAAGTAATATTGAATGTCAAATGTAATTGAAAAATCAATAAAGGGCAAAAAAATGTGAAGGGAAATAAGAGGTTCAAACTTCCAGATATAAAACAAATAAGTCATGGGTATGTGGTGTACAGCATAGGAAATATAGTCAATAATATCGTGATAACTGTGTAGCGTGTCAGATGGTTGCTGGATTTATCATGGTGACCACTCCTTTAGATATATAGATGTTGAATAGTTATGGTGTATACCTGAAACTAATATGTTAGCTAAATTTTAATAAAAATCTTTTTTCTTAAGTTTAAATAAAAAACAATATCATTTCTAGGAAAAAACATTGTAGAATATCTTCATGAACTTGGCACAGGCAAAGATAAAGTACTAATCATATAAGAAAAATTGATAAATTAGGATTTTTCAAAATTAAGGATATTTATTCCTCAAAAAACATGAATAAGTGAGAAAAATAGGTAAGTCACAGACTTGGAGTCGATATTTGCAATACAAATTTTAACACATACTGATATCTAGTACTTAAAAGAACTCCCACAAATCAAGAAAGATACAGAACTCAACCTAAGAATATGTAAAAAACAGGCAAAAAAGAGAATTTCTAACTGGCTGGTGAGTGTATGAAAAGGTGCTCAAACTCAGTATTCATCAGGGCGGGGCAAATTTAAACCACAATGAGATACCTCTCTATAAACAGAATGCCTAAAATTGAAAACAACCACATAAGATGTTGAGAAAGCAAAGCAAACTCTCATACATTGTTGGTAAGAGTATAAACTGGTTCAAACACTTTGGAAAATTGTTTAATCGTATCCATTAAAACTAAATATATGCTTTCTCCATGACCTGGCAATTCCACTCATTATATATACAAGAAAAATTAATGAATATGCCCACCGAAAAACATGTTCATAGAAGTTTTGTTCATAATAGCCAAGAACTTGAAATAATTGAAATATCTATCAATAGTAGCAAATATTTAAAAATTATAATGTATTCATACTGTAGAATATAATGAAATATCATATAACAATAAAAAAGAAAAAGACCTATGAACTGAAGCAACAGCATGAATGAATCTCACAGATATAATGCTAGAAAAAAATGCAGACATAAATGTCAATATACAGTAAGTCTTCATTTATTAAAGGTCAGGAACACGCAAAACTAACCTATGATGATAAAAGTCAGAATAGGGGTTACCTTCGTGAGGGTCAGTATGGGAGAAGGAAAGGAGACATCAACTCAAAAGGTATAAGACAAAACTTTCTGGGCTGTCGAAGTATTCTGTACTTTAATTTGGATGATGGGTACAAGATATATTTTTAGAATTTCCATCGATCTGCACACCCAAGATTTGTGTGCTTATAGACACTGTACTGTATATATTTTAGTGTCTAATAAAAAGAAAAAATCAATAATGAAATACTTCTTATTTTCATCTTAAAGTGTACAGAATACTTTTAGAATCAGATTAAATATTCTTTAGAAAAATAAACTTCACACATAGCTCCAAGAGGCAGCAGACCTTATAGAAAGAAGGGTGTTTGTGGTCCAAAGCTATAAACTCTAGAACTAGTTCTTACTAGCCAAGTAACTTTGAGAGTCATTCATTTCTCTTTATCTCAACTTCTATATCTATGCAACGAAGTAATAAATCTTACACTGTTGTGTAAATCAGTCGGGATAATGGCTATGATGGTGTTTTATATATTCTAAGATCTTATTAAACTCCACTCTTTTAAAAAATTACCCTTTACTTTACTTTCTTTTTTCTTTTAAGTCATTTCCACTTTTTCCATTTTCACAATTAACTTAAATCAAGTAGGACTATTTAGGATGCTTGTCTGTTTGATTTTTCTTAAGACCGCTTAGTAATACCACTAAGAACTCAAGAGCTTATTTCAAAATATCTCCAAGAATATGTTGAGTTAGAAATTTAGGATCAACTTAAAAGAAAACAAACTTATCCTTTGCCATAAAATTTTATTTCTGTCTATGGAATGAAGTCAAACACTGATCTTATGAGCAATGAAGTCTGGTCAAGGAAGGTTTGCAAAGGAGTTTAGGGTCTGATTTGTGGAGTTCATCAAAGTGTGCACTTGAGGTATATTTTGTTGACCTTGAGAAGCACATAGCTGCCAGAAAGGACTCCTCATGTTCTATAGGGGTCGAATTCATAACTAGAATCTGGCAGCTATTGTTTGCAGAGGCCTCTATCACAGCTGCATTTCAGGAAAATACTGCACTGGCTGCCTGTCTCCTACACTGTATTCCTGCCAGCTGAGCTAACCTTTATAAAAGAGCTCCTAGGCTTGTAAATCAACCAAAGGATTGAAGAGCTGTCCCAGCCAATGGGAGCTGTGCAGCTATATCCTCATTTGTATCTTCACCAACCAATCAGAGAAGCTCCATTCTAACCAATAAAGACAGTGCTATTTGGACCATTCAAACCGTGAGAATTTGGACTCCTCATTTGCATAGAAATGAATCAATCAATGATGAGGGAAGGTGCTCTTCTCTATAGAAGCCTGCTTCACTTCTCCCTCCACACAGCACACTTTTAGTTTCCATCAAAGACTGTTTCCCCAGCTGGAGCTGTAATACTGGAGCTGAGCTGCAACACTGAAGCTATAAAACTGAGGCCTCCTCACCCAGGCATTCTCGCCCAGGCTGCCTTGCCCCACTGCCTCACAGCTGTGCTGTTCCATAACCATGCTGTTTCACGATTGATCTGTTTTAACTGGAAAAAGAAGTCTCTCCCCTCACCGTACCCCAAATTGCAAACTTCTGTCAGCATTGAATTGGCGATGACAACCTTCACTTGACAACTTACATATCTGTTGAAGTAAACATTATTGAACTAAAACATTTATTAATAATGACCTGGCTTCCTTCCAAGTAACCGTGTTAAGACTCTGGGTTCCAACAAAACTAGATTGATTTCTCTTTCAATCTTCTTCCCCACCTGCACACACTCTGCCCATGCGTCTGTATATATAGTGGCGGGCACAAGGTGGATAAATGCTTCTCGACCTTTCTGCTTTCTTCTCACTTAATTCTGCACAGCTCAACAACTTTTTGTTACTTTCAAAGTATTATCCTTGTTTTAAAATTCCTATGGCTCTATTGCACATGCTCATTTTGGTAAAATACCCATTGAGATTAAAATCCTTGTGGATCCTGCTGATGTTATCAAGGAAGTATATATTTTCAAAGCCAAAATTTTAGGTGTGTTCGTGGTATCCATATGAATTTAAGCTTGCAATTTTGTGTACACCTATTCATAAACGTACTTAGAAATGACCCCTGAAACAAGAAAAAGAGTTGCATTTCGATATCATCACATATTAAATGAAAAGCTTGGATTACATGATCTCTAAGCAGCCATCTTGCTTCAGTAATGCAGCAATCTAGGTAGCGTAGCTCTGCACCAGTGAGTTATTTTATTCTGGGACATGAGAGAATGGAAGAAAAGAAATTGTTTATTGATGCAAGCAGATTTTTTTACAAGACAGGGCAATGGAAAGACCAAAGATTGTCCACAGTAGATGCTGTGCCAACTCACTGTATATAAAAAATTCAACTTTGCATTGGCATAAGAGGAGACATTTTATTATAATAGGAAATGACATTGAAGTTATACTTCTTGCTTTTTAGCAGAAAGTTAAAAATAACCTTTCCAATATTTTATAATTTAGCGCATTTATTTATTTAAGTAAGTCAAGACTCATTGTGTTGGAAATGAGTAACAGAAAATAAGTGTCAAACATCATTCTCTAAGGACATAAATATTTTTCTTTTAGGAAAGGTGGAGATTTATGCAATTAAAAAAAAATCACGTAATTTCCAAAATGACTACATCTATAGTTACTTTATCCCATCAATAGCGAGCATCAACACCAAAATAAACCAAAAGATGCTTTTGAGCACTGTAAATCTAATTATACCACATATTATAAATGAAGGTAATTAAACTTGAAAAACTGCTATAAACTTCCTGAAGATAAATGGAAAATTAACAGCCACTTTGTCTTCCTGCTTGTGTGTCTGGGCAAAATTAAATTCACAGGAAAGTCTAAGATCCCTTTAAATACCAGCTAGTTATTTTCTAGGATGGACCGTTGAACCCCTCCTACCCTGCCCCACACCCCAGCCTTTGATGTGTTCCCAGCGATAAAGGTTTAGAAGTTCTCAGGCTGCTTCATGCCACCCCTCCCCCAACATTCTGACTTGTTTGTGCCTTTCTTTCCCTGCGATTTCACTGTGTGTTTAGCCCTCCCGGAGCAGCGGTTTCCTTAGCAACAGGCTTGCCCTTTTAGAGGCTCAAAGGATGACAGCAGTTTACGGGCATGCGTTCTCCCAGGCCTCCTTGCTGCTTCGCGCTTCTGTCCGTTGTGAATGCTCAAAGGTCAAAAAGTAAAGTCCGTGTTGTTTCATTCTTTTCAGACAAAGGGCAGGAAGCTAAAACAAGTTGGAAAACCACATTTTAATTGGACTATCTCATATAAAAGTCATAATCTAAGGTATATATGAAAAGGAACAATTTTCTTGAACTTGAGGGCAGAGAGGTGGAAGCAGAGATTATTACAAAGGATGGAATCTGGAGGACTCGCTACATGGAAAATACAAGGAAACTCGGGATGAGTTTGTGGGAAAACAGTGTAATCGGTTTTCCTCTTTCACTAGATTTTAGAACCTCAGAATAAGAAGGGATGTTGGGGACCAGTGCAAGATCTAATATAAGAATCAGCTCTGCAATTTAGGGCTCTGAGCCTAAGGCTCTGAAACGTTTTATTTAAAATTCACCTTTTAAGTTCTACACTTATGATGTGCACCCTTTTCTGTATAGATATTATATTTCAATGAAATTTTAAAAAATAAAAAATAAAATTCGCCTTTTAGATATGAATTTTAGACATTTTTAAACTATGAAAACAAAACACTCAATGAATCATTTACTGAATTTTAATAACATTTAAAGCCTGGAGATCGTACTGTGCTGATAGATGAATACTATATTTCTTTGCATAGAATTTGTAATTCACTCATCTAGTCATCAAATATTCATTAAGGGCCTACTATATGCCAGGCAGTCTTCTAAGTTTTGGGAAACATCACTGGATAAAACATATTTTTAAAAAATATTTACTTCCTCAATACTATATTTAAATTTATATTTTTTGCACATGTGCCATGGATTAAAAAGATTGCAGCTTTGCATTTGTCTTTTAAAAATTTACAGGTAAATTGTTCATGTGGGAATATTACTAACCTACCTATGCTTCAGAACCACTAAAATAGTGACAAGGCTTAATTCCATTTGCTCAGTAGTTGCTCCTGCCCACTTTAATGTACATAAACTGATGTACAATAACAAATTACCTCTCTTGTGTCCATGATGCCATTCTCCATTCATATACTGATGATTCCTAAATCTCCACTGTCAGCCAATGGTTTTTAGTACCAATTCAATGCCAACGCTAATCCCCAATTCGGGGTGTGGTGAAGGAGGAGACTTTATTCAGTGCAAACAGTCCAATTGTGATACAGCACAGCTGTGAGGCAACCTTCATGCGAGTCCCTTCTCCTGCTAGATAGATCAGCCCTGGCCCATGGAGACAGGACAGCTCTGCTCTGCTCTATCCAAGAAGACATCTTCAGTGTTTCCGCTCCGGCTGGGGAAACAGTCTTCTCTTCCATAGTAGGAGAAAGTACATTCCCAGAATGTGAGGGGAGCTGACTTATAGAGAGATGAGTCCCCACCCCTGGTCCCTTAAAGGTTCATCCTCATGCAAATGAGGACTACAAATCCTCATAGTTTGATTAGTCCAAAAAGTACTGTCCCAATTGGTCAGAACTGAGCCAATTCTGATTGGTCGGTGAAGATACTAATAAAGATACAGATTCTCAGCTCTCTTTGGATGGAGAAAGTCTCAGTCCTATTGGTTGAAATACAGTTCCAGGAACTCCTTTATTAGAAATGTCTCAGACAGCAGGAAGGTGGTTCAGTGCATGCTGCAGGCAGCTTAGTGCTGGCTAATCCCTGCACTGGGGTTTGTGAGAGGCTCCTGTTTAGAAACAGCTACTAGGCTCTGTTTTGTTTTGTTTTGTTTTGTGTTTTATTTTAAGCCCAATTAGCCACTAGGAGCCCTTTTTGGTAAATATTTTCTTTCTCAGGGTCAACACCACCTTCATCCTTGAGTTCTAGATTTATGCATCATAATCTTTACTAGATAGCTCCACTCAAATGACCCACAGACATCCTGGATTGAATCTGCCCAGAACAAAACTCAGCACTTTCTTGAATCTGTTCTTTCTCCTGAGGTCACTAAACTGCATCATCATTCATTCATTGTCACAACACTGGAACCTAAAGTTATCCTGAATTCTTCCTTCTACCCCATCTCCAAGGTGTTACCAAGTCCTATAGATTCTCTTTCTTTAAGCTCTCTTGAAACTGTCCATGTCCCTTCATTTGTCCCCGCTGCAACCCTAATAAAGTACCTCTTAACTGGTCATCCTGCCTCTTTTCTTGTCTTCACTCTCCAATCCCTTTTCCAATTGAAGCTAGATGAGGCTTACAAAAAACAAATAGTGTGTCCTCTCCTGTAGGTGTAACCTTTCAGTAGCTTCCTACTGCCTTCAGGACATATTTTAATTTGTTTTATAGGATCTGTGGTCATGATTCTCTCTCATCAAGCCATACTCACTACTTTCAGCTTCAAGCGGTACTCACTTGTTGAAGACCTTGTGATATATCATGAGCTTGTTATGGGGCCTTTGTATATGCCATTTCTTTGTTTGGGAACATATATATATCATCCATCATTACTGTGTCCTCCAGATTTCCAGGTGAGCTTCTTCTGAAACATATTCCCTGACCTACCAAAACTAGATAAAATGCACTTCCTGATTTCTCCCACCAGGCTGTAAATTGCTTGTGGGCAGGAACCATGTATAGCTTGTTAACTCTTGAATCCTTAGCATCGAACTGATATTTTTAGCATGTTGATAGATTTGTTGATTGAATAAATGCATTCTACGTGTTTAAAGTTTAATTTGACTTGAATGATACTGAACTCATGGATTATTCCTATATGAGCTTCTTAGCATTGACTTTTTAAAATAAAGGACAAGCCTAAACAAACTTCTACTCACTTTTATATTTGCAAAAATGGTCTTACTCTGAGCTTTTATACCATGCTTTATGGTGAATCTTAAAGAATTTTATTACTGTTATTATCTGCATCTCTTAAATTTATTTCATTTGAGGGAAATTTGCAGATCAGTTTTAATAACTAAAAGTAAACTGAACCAAGTCTTTCTTAAGGAAACAGCATAGTGTTTCTTAGGCAGTAAAAGGGAAAGGCTTAAATATTTAGATGTCAGATAATACAGAGCAAAATATGTTCACTTTTTGGTTAAATAGTATAGTGCACTATATGGTTTTTATATCTTAAGAAAGGATTAATTCTCAGTCATTCTGCACAAAATATAATTAGATAAGTAAACATTTTTAATTAAATTCAAGAAAACACTTATCCCCTGAGTGTCTTGGTACCTACAAACATGATTTATGTATATCTTCAGCTAGTTTTTCAAAAGGTATCGAAACCATTTAATAAAATATTCTTCTATCAACCTTCCATAAATGTCAAGGACACAAAAACACATTATAATGTAAACCTTAGGGAACTTAGATAAAGAAATATAATTCAAATGTGCAATAGCAGAACAAGAATAGAGTGTTAATTCTAACTCACTCTTTGGGGATGAGGGAGGTAGGTTATATATAACATAAAGAAAGGGAAAAATACAGGTGAATATATGCTCTCAATGTTTTTTTTTAGACTTGATTACATAAAATAACATAGGTTTATTTAGATTTTTAAAAGTTTTTAAAATTCAGAATATCAAGGAATGTGAATGAGGAATGAAAAGTCAAGATCTTGAAAGGATATTTGCAACATATATAATAGATAAAAGGTTCATATCAGAAAAACAATACATAAAGAACTCAAGCACATCAATGAGGAAACTGAAAAACTAGAAATGAAAACTAAGCAAACCATAGACGACTTCTTTTCTTGAATCCACTCTAATAAATCTTTTATTTGCTCTCATATCAACACTGAAACAAGGTAACTATTCATGGCTTTTCATTCTGCCATAGTCCAATAAGAAAAAGAAAAGCCACTTCGAGGATTTCAAATTGAGAGCATTTAATGCAGGAAATTGGTCACAGTGACGGAAGCACTAAAAAGCCCAAGGAAGAATGGCAAAAACACTGAGACATTTAACCTCAGCCAGAAGTTTTGGCCACTTCTAGGACTGGAGGGACCCAAGCAGAGAGAGTATTACTAGAACCTATAAGCCAGAGCTATCCAGGGAAGCTGGCACCACAAGAGAACTGGCCGGCAGTAGCTCGGACCATGGAGACAGAGAGGACCATTCCTTCCCTCATGCTGCACTTATCTCAAGTCTTCAGATGTGTTACAATCTCTCTTCTTCAGAATAGCTTTTCTGCCAGAACTCTTCTACCTTCTCACTCATTCTGACTAACTCCTAAATAATCTTTAGGAGTCTGCTCAAATTTCACTCTTTCTAGGCACCTTCCTTAATTCTCCAGCCTAAATAAACTCTCTCTATAAATACTCATGTTGTGCTCGCTCTGGCAGCCCATATACTATAAATACTCCTGTTAATCCTCTATGACGACACACCCAATTTCATTGTAATTATAATAGAATTGTCTCCCTTCCTGGACAGACTGTAAGCTCCAAAAGAACACAAACTTAAGGACTTTGATTTGTCTTGATCCCTGCTGTATGCTTAGCACATAAAACAACCTGGCATACAGCATGGGGATCAATATATAATGGTTGATCGAATGATTTTCCAATAATCAAAATTTGATGCATCCTCAATTGTCCTTTGAAAATCCACCCCTTCCCTCAAACCATATTGATCAGGTAGGTTTTACTTTACCACCTCCTACTCACCACCACTGAAGGAGTAAGTACATTTTTCAGGTATGGCCAATCAATTCCATCTCCTTGACACTGGTCAAATGACCACATTGGTCCAATGGACTCAATCTCAGGGTTCTTCTAAGTTGCTACTTATGAGACATTCTTCTTCTGCTAAGATTGCTAAACTGAACAATGTAAGCCTTGAGCTGTTGGTAATCATTTTGCCACCAAGAGGGTAGAATCTGCACCAAATAGGAAAGATAGCTCTGATCTGGAGTGAGAAAGGTGAGTGACTGAGTTCTAATGGTAACATCCTTAGAGCCCCTGAATTTGTTCATGGCTAAAGCCAAATATACATCTGATTTCTAGCTCAGATTCCAACAAATTCTTTTCCAACAAATTCTTCTTTGGCTTAAGCCTGTTTGGTTTCTGTCACTTAGAACAAAGGGGTCCTCACTGATTCCTTAATCGAACATCACTAGTATCTCT